CACTGCCATCGGTCTGAACCCCCCCCCATCCCTTACCCTCTCATCCCACCCAACATTAGAAGCAACCTGCCGTGTTATCACCCGGCTCAATATCCTGGTTAACCAATTGGTAGCTATCATAGTTTATCATTCCAAATACCGTAGCCTAAGTTGCCAGTTCGCATAACAGAACTGTAGGTTCTCATGTGGTTAGAGTCCGGTTGGCCTAATGACATTGCTAGCACCTGATTCTTGCACATGGGAGGGTGTTTTTTTCCGATTGAAGAAAATTAGTTCGCAGTCCGGCACACAATTAACCGCAAAATGGGTTATTAGCATGAAACATTGATTTCAGTTCGAATACAATTATTCAACGATCATCCTTGTAAGCTGCACGCCACTCAGATTTGCTTTTTCCCCACTCTATCTCATTCGTATCTAACCACGTCATCTCGGACCGCTACGGTTCAAGGTTTTGTCAGTGCTTTGGGAGCAGTTATCTTACACGATCAAACAGGATCCTCTGTCTCTGGAAGAATTCGAGCAATTGTTACGGCAGTACAATTTGCAATCAGTACTTACCGAATGGAAACGAACTGACCAAGTGAACAGGGAAGAAATGTACAAAACTCATCCGATATTAAAGTGAGCATTTTTGGTGTATTTGATCTTCTATGGATCGGAACAGTATATGTAATGTTGCTATTTCCATTCTATCTCATCCGGTACTTCAAACCCCTTTCGCTATTTTTTAAACTGTGATATTGTCCATCCAGACAGCTCCATTTTTGTTCCTTGGTGGTCGTTTCTGTCACTCTCTTTAAGGATACCAATTGGTGAGCAAGCAAAAGAAGAGATCAATCTGGAGGAGTGAGCTACATAGGCACTGCGACTGGGCTCTTTTTTCAAATTATCAAGGAAAATAAACCGGTCTGGCTAAAAATGGGAAGAATTGAAACTATATTGAGTTCGCATCAGGCGCACCTCGTGGATACGATGCATTCAGCAAGTAAAAATATTTTCAAAATCGTTTACAAGGTGTCAGAAACCCATCCAATCCTGCCGAAATCATCATCTTGCAACTGTAGAATTGGTAACGGTAAAGTTGTCTCAACCATTTCCATGTTCGTAAGACTAGTTTGTCTGAATTCGCCGGTTGCTCAGACCCAAGCCCTCGAAACGGTCATGAACATGTAATCATCAGATGATGTTACCAAAGGCGCTGTGACAGAGCATGATGGCCCGGGAATCACTCATACAGATCCAGCAATGGTAAGATTCTTGCGATGCAAAAGCAGACATCTTTCATTCGTAACATGTAAAAGTGCTTCAGTTTTCTCGTCCTCTATCCACAAATGTCAGTGGTTTTTCAGACACTATATTATTCTGTCTTTTCGTGAAAATATCTCAAATTAAAGAAATGTTTTGATGAGATGAAGTTTTCCCGTGTTGCTAGAACAAGTGAAATCACCATGACGTATTTGTTAGTTTCGATCGTATTCTAATTCTATCAATCTATTCCTGATCTTGAGTGTACAGAGAGTATTGTACTACAAAGTGAGATGAGCTGCTGGCTTTTATAGATGATTTGCGGGTTCAGTTAGTTTTATTGTATTGTATTGTAATAACTTCTATAGGCGTAAAGCCTACATTTCAGTTAAAAATATACAAGTTGGGGCGAGGGGGGAAATAAAAAATGATGATGAAAAAAGAGACTTTAATCCCAAAGCTGTCAAAAAAGTCTGTGAAAAAGTGGTTTTTGTTAATTAGAATACATGCTAATGAGGGTAGTTTAGAGTTACAATGTGTTTATTTGAGAGGGAACACAACGGTATTGGGATCTAGTTGATGGATGGGAATAAAAGGAAGTTAAACCCGTGTGTAGCAGTTTTAGTCAGTCTCAGTTTCTACAACCATTAACCATGCACTATCGTGCGCCGGTATTGGTTGTTATCTTTTGGCTGCCCATTTAAATGAACAATAGGAGGAAAACAGGAAAGGTTGGATGTAGGATGGAAGAGAAAATCTAGTATTTCGTTGCACTAATTTTGCAGAGCAATCGACAAGATGCACAAACGCCGCTGTTTATGACACCCAGCCATATCACTCAGTGTCTCTAACCATCGGGTATGATCATCCCGAGGTCCCCTGCTCAGTGTCTCTAACCATCGATTACGATCATCCCGAGGTCCCCAGCCAGGGAGCCTAACGGGACATATGTGATCCCGACTCCTGGTTGGGGTTTTCATATCCCCATTCCAGGTCTTAGCTTGACCAACATTGACTTTCTTCCACCCACTACCTGCCTCTGCGTGGAGCGGATGTGTGGGGTTGTTTCCGGCTTGTTTTTTCACAGTTCACAGGAGAATGTTGGTCTAGCCACAAATTACATTCAAACAAAGGAAGCTACAGATAAATGGAACACATATTTGCCTGCTTGAGCAGCTACTTGTCAGAAGCATTACGGATGCTGTGTGGTCACGCATACACAGGTATTGATCCGTTTCGACCAAATTGAGATAGCTTTGGTGCCGCCGACACACTCGGTTGTCTGTTGAAAGTCGAGTTCCGCAATTCCACCAATGGTGATATACGTTGCAAGCAGTTGATGGGAACAGTGTAAAGGCAGTGGCGGTGTTGGAGCATCATGGTTTACACCACATTGAACAAGTCTGAAGATGTATTTTTTCCTCATTGGTACAAGACATCTAATCTTCCCAAAACTGAAAGATACGCACAATGGGAACGCACTTTTCTCCCAGCAAGTTACTATTTGCTCCCTCTGATCTATACAAAAGATGCAACGAGTTTTGAAAGTTTCTCAAAACTTGATGAAAGAGCTCCCTGACCATATGCTTATCATATTGTTTGTTTCGGTCTCTCGTGCAATCAGGGATTTGAATGCTCACCTTCGGAAATCCCATCGTGGTCATGTGCAAGACCAACGTATCAATGCCATGATGTGCTCTGCTCCGCTTGAGTATGTTCCACAGAAAAATCAAAAGCAGCCTCACCGCGGTAAGCTACTTCTTGACCAAACAGCCATTTTGCTAGGGATGTTTTTTCTTTCTTTCAAATTCTTTTCTGATGGTATGCCAGTCGGATATTCAAGCTTGATGTTTGGGTAAAACAGGTTCTAATTGTTTTTCACTGGGGGGGGGGGGGGGCGCTNCTTTGGAGGTAAGCAGCTTCGGTTTCAATCGGTTCAAACAACACCTCTGCTCTTATGCCCCGGAGCCCATGTTGTCATAACTGAAAAGCAGATGTCTATAACGACAGGGTTTCACCCTTTTTCATCAATCTAATATGGTGTCCGGTAAGAAAGTGCCAATTTAACCCTATCATCATCATCATCCGAAAGGAGTTTTTGTGTTAGCTTTTTTCTTCATCTCTTCAGTCAAGATCCATCACATTGGATTCATCGCCATAGTGTGAACCAATTCTTATTGTTTTCTGTTACATAGTGCCACTTTCGCCAGAGGGTTCTTGAAAAAGAAATCCATTCACTTCACTTCCCCCCCCCATGGTTTCGTGCTGTTTACAACCGTAATACAAGAAACCATTTTTTCACTTATCTCACATTGTGTACTTGTGTATCTGATATTCCAGCGAGTTGATCGCCTTGATGTTCAGCATATGTCCAGCCTATGATATTTTCGTCTCAAACGTAGTCCATAAAGAGCGCATCGTTTCCTTTGGTTTGCAGTTTGAACCGTATCATCAACATCCCTAACTGGCTAAAAGCTGCTGTCCTTTTGGTGTGCTCTCCGAGAAGTGTTGTTCGCAGACCTTTTGTAGCCAGGTAACTGATGTTGCCCAGCCTGGCTCGCTAAACGTCCGCGAACCACACTTCCATTTCAGAGAACACACCAACAGTAGCAATACACTCCATTTGCTTCACCAAGTCAAATCGCAGTAGTTTGATTCCAATGAACATCGCGTTCCGTTGTGGAGAGCGTGAATTTTGACAATTTCAAAGAATCCAGTGTGTTATGGTGAATGATACTTTATGCAACCATTCAGTTTTGAAATAAATGCTTTGTGGTGCGCTCGTGAATCACAGTTACCAAACTTATTTATCGTTCTACTATTCTTGGGTTTCAAAATAAATGTGGCCTGTTAATAGTATTATTATTATTAGTAGTAGTAGTATTATTATTTTGTTTCTGACATTTTTCTTCCAGATAGTGTAAAGTATCAAGTATACCTATCACCAGATCTCAATTCTCTGGTCTTGATGGATCAGAAGAAATGTACTCAAGGTCTTTGTAAGTTTCATTTATGCGCCATTGTTCTGATTAACGGATAACCGTTGTTTTTTGCGTGGTAATAATCCTCACTGTCAGGTACCACAGTTAATCGGCTAACCAAAATCAAATCCACAAGGCAGCGGGTGGTCTGTGAGAACCGCAATGCATTGTGAGACGGTTTCCAGTTCGTCGGATAATACGCCTTTTAGACGGGGTCAAATTTTCAAGGTGCCCAACCGAGCCGGTGATCACAAGCAACAATGTGTTTGTGGTTCATACATCTCTCCTTGGTTGATTTACAGTGCGATCACTCGACCGTTTTCCATCGTCTCATCCCTCTCACCCGTGACCTTAAGCAAGTAAATTCCCTCTGACCCCTAATGCGATCTGATTGGATCATATTCCGCGATATGCGGAGCTTAAAATCTCACCCCAATACGAGACTGTTTGATTACCGGCTTGTACTTGTACGTTTTGTAATGCTCTTGTTGTTACGTCCAGTCCATCCGAGTGCTGATGGCACTCCTACACAGTGGAAGTTCACTGAGACTCAGCCGTAAAAAAGGTGTGGTTTCTCGCTCGGGTTAGCTGGGCAAGCACCAGATCCCTTGTTGCGGCTGAACCATTCGACCGATCGATAAATGAACCCGATCGGTCGTGTGCTTTTTGGGCCGGCATAGGAGGAGGACAGCTTCCGAATCCAATGCAGCCTGTGTTGGTAGAGAATCACCCCAAGAGGATCAGATGTGGGGCGGTGCGCCATGTGGGAAATTCCGAATGAAAAATGCTTAAGCGATTATGACACTGAACCAATGCTTGACTGCTTGATACATGCACTATTTTTCGAAGCGGGTTCGGTAAACAGATAATCATAATAAACGTTTGAGCATGTCTTAATAACGGAAAACAATATCCCCAATGTAGGCCCACGCAAAACTCTTCTTGATTTTTTTCCAACTGGTTGCTTTTGCGTTAAACGATCTCGTTAGCTACCTCGAAGATAGAATTCCGAATGAAAGAAAGAACAAATATTACGGAATAATCATCTTCATATCATAAAAGATGTTCTGCATGTTTTCCATTCTGCTGTTTGCATAGCAAAATCCGGTGAAGATAGTTTTCTTCCATCTTCAGAATGGTAGCAGTTGGAATACGTTCGCATTGCACCACAATGCTCTGTTTAAGTTCCTCGATAGTTCTCGGTTTTCGGGAATAAACCGTTCACTTCAGATATCCCCACAGAAAGAAATCCAAGGAGGACAGATCAGGTGACCTTGGAGGCCATTCCATCTGCAGTTAAATTCCGAGTCGAGGAAACGTCTCACCACCAGGGCATTGTGTGGCGGTGTAGAACCACGGTTTTTAACCAACTCCCCTAGATGAACTATCAATGGTTCACCGACCCGATTAAAGCAGCGGATGTTGACTTCTCAACCTCTCACTTTGGTGCGAAAACGCTTCTGCCATGTGAAGCTAGTGAGAAGGTCTTCCTCGGCAGAGGCTTTGTAAAACGCTTCGTTGTATAGGAGCGTTTTACGAGGTGAAAGGAAAGGGTGATCAGACACAACTCAAGACACCCAATCCGGACCATACTGAGGCTTTCGGAATGATTTCGAAATGATATCCATGAATGTTTTTGCTGTGAATACGACGAGTCCGGGCTATTTTTAACTTTGTAGCCCAATTTTGTGTCAAAATGAACCCGCTTATGCTTTCGCATATCTGTCCGAACGAAAGCTGATTCCGAAGCGACCACAATCAGTGTGCGGTTTGTGAGTGAAAATTCTTATGTCATAATTGTAGCTTAACTGAGGCGGTCGATCAATAAAATGTTCTATTTCAAGTCCTCAGGTGATGTTTTGAAAAAATAAACAATATTAGTAGAACATTAAACCCCTTTTTATCCCTCTCGTCGTGGAGCCCACAACTTGAGCACATATTTTGTGAACAAGATGTTTATCACTTACGTTCAGCAAAGAACGTATACTGGAGTTGGTTCAATGATAGATAGGCTACGGGGCCAATCTCCCTTATACAATATATCATTGGTCGATAAAAGTACAAGTATACAAGTATAATTCCGGCGTACAAACGACAAATGAACTGTTTTCATACTTCCATTAGTTTGGTCCAACAGACTTATCTGGATGCCGAAAATTACATGGAAACCAGATTGATTTGCGTTGTTTAATTGGGCGCTGCCAGGGGGAGGTTTCGAACTCAAAATGCGCATTTTTTGAATTCCATAGAAAATAAGCTTGTAATAATGGCGTATATGAAAAAACATTATTCTTTATTAGTTAATTATCTTCAAGTATCGGTGGGGATTCATAAATCAGTTTACAAACCGTCCGTAATCAACAATCCCGGTCGATTTTCTCTGTGAAAAACATTGAGAACAAGGAGTGGAAAGATTTTTTGATAGGAACTACGCCCAATGTTTGACGAACAGCACCGGATGGCCTATTGATGTAAGAAATTTGGATCCCTACTTGGGAGTTTGACTACTCGTGTTCCCACGGCTAGGCATAGGTTCACTTCGCGAACAAGTTCACAGAAAAGATGAAAAACCTTTCGAACTGAGTTATAATAAAAGGTTTCTATCACTGAGACTGTGGGTAGTCAGTGCAACCTCAATCTATGAAACGGGAAACAAAAGAGAAGGAGCCGTATCCAGTGACTTATGAATGTTAAATCTGGGAGACGATTTCAAAGCCCTCAAACAGAATGTTCCTTATATTTTCTACTTGCCAGGGCCCCTCACGTGCATCGAACGTGTTACCACGGGCACAGAAGAACGCGTAAAAAAGAATCCGGAACGAGTAAGTGTTTTCCTATAACATCATGATTCATTCCCTTACTATCTCAGTTTTAGCTCATTTTAAAAATCCACCAGCATAGTATATCTACTGGTCTCCCAATTAAATTTGAAGGATTGTTTCAGCACCATCCGTCAACACTAAGGTTACTTGAAATATAGAGTGGAAAATTTTCAAAAATCCCAAATGGTAGTAATTATCTGGGTTGATGAGATTACTATTGGTGTTATCGTTCGCATAACCCTTTGACTGAGCTGCTTACATGACGTTTTATTGTTGATCTGATTAGCTAACCTATTCTTCAGAAGCGATCGTGTTTGTCATTCCCCAGTTTACACGATCAATCACCGATCACACAGACAGTGTTAAAACTAAAATAACAATAGGAGGTTATGATAAATCAACAGTGTTATGAAACACAACGGTGCGGTGTGTTTGCATTCTGCTTCAGTGGATCGGATGTAGTAGATGCACTCAGCTGATCATAATCAACATAGCTGAGAGCTACAAAACGTGTCGCAGATTTTCATTTCTTTAATAGCAAAGTATTCTTTCTTACTCAATCATTTCTCCGATGCTATGATGCACAATTTCAAGCTGTGTTACGACTTTCCGTCATGAGATATCCATCTTGCTCTTCCTCAGCATAATCCAGAGTACCAAATTAATTGGATAAAGTTCTATCTCTTTTGTATTCCAACCCCTACGTTCTATCTTATTATTGTTGTTGCGTTGGCATCATGCTTGTTCGTAACCCCGTGACATATATATATATATCTTGAAATAAACGGAGGATTTGGTTTGTTCATACGATGAATTTGTAATCGGACTGGAGTGTTTCCAACCCGGAGGTTAGTGCTGAGATGCGCAAGGTGCATTAAGCTCGCAAAGATGGATTGTGCTGAATCGTGTATAAGGAAAATGAAAAACGGTCCGATCAGTTGCCTGGTGACCGATTGGATATTGTGCTCGTGTTCTGCCTCTAAGACCCCGGGTTCGATCCCCAGTTGCATCGATGGATTCGCGCTACTCGGATGAGATTCGACAGTGCTGAAACAACTGTCCATTGTTTCCTAGCTTTTCAGTTCACGTTTCATTAAGAAATTTACCATATATATATATATATATATATAGTTGTTGCCCAAATTTGGATAAATATATACCCAAAAGAGAACGAAAAAACGGAATTCAGTCACCATAGTTCATGGAGATATAAATTTAAATCAGCTTCCAGTCTAATTCAGGAGCACGAAGAGAGACGCCGAAAGGGATAAACACAACGTACTCACCTGTGTAGTCTGTGATCAAAAGTTATTCAGGAGCGAAGGCATGAAAACAGTAAAAACACTGGTGGATTTCACATCAGTTTTAACTGAAAAACTGTTCCCTTTAGTCCCCGCTTGTAGTTCTTCAATAGTGATTACACATAGCCCAAAAGCCACACACTCTGAAAATACCTTGGCAGACAGGCGGGATGATATGTGAATAGGTGAAGTCAAATAACGATGATTCGATTGATTCGAGATCGTCAAATCACATTGTTTTCCTCTGCTGACAATTCAGATCTCAGATTAGTTGTTCTCGTATGGGAGCTAATGATCGACGAGCACACGCGGTGGGCAAAGTCACAGAGACCATTCGACCAGCAAATCCCCGTCACGTCCGCAAACACGGTCATCCCTCGTTCAAAACCCCCTATGTATGCCAGTTCACCACCCCTCCTGTTCTATCTATGACCTGGAAGAATGCTGGGAGATGATTGATCCCCGCCATTATTAATTTTACAACATATTGCCCTGATCCTGTTTGATGTGTGCCGCGACCCTCTGCTGTGCTTGTTGTGGACCCACAACAATACCTGTAAATTCATTGCAACTTAGTGGTACCGGTGGTTGTACTGATCCAGTGGTCAAGTCAACGGCCCTCCTGTTGCGCATTCATACCTGTGGTGCGAATCCCGGACCACAAAGTCAATTTTGGTGATTAACACTTTCACTGCCACTTGCTCCATAACTCTCGTATCCGTCCGTACCTTGGACGATGGAGAAACCAGATGTGATCAATGAATCGATTCGTGCAGATTACATCCGATGGTTTCGTTGCAATCTCCCATGATCTGTTTAGTTGATAGTTGCTTCAAGAATAACTCAAACGAATGGACGCTGTCACCAATGTGATCGGGGCATTTCCGCATCATTTCTGAATAATTAAACCGTATAAAGAAATCTTGTTCGGTGTAATCGTGTGTGTGTATTTGTGTTCTGAGTGTGTGTGATGCACGGGATTGGTTACGGCCATGGAAGGTCATGGGTAAAGTTTATACGCTTTTGGACACAGCGTGGGTTTGTTGTGAGCGATCGATAATTCCCCGAGTATCCTTGGTCGCTGTTTGTCACGGTGACGTAACAGAACCGAAAATACGTTGTGACCGCTTTCAACCCAGCGGCATGCGATGGCCGCAATCGGTCTATGTGATGTAGTTAGAATCTGTGGTGTAGGCTGAGTCATAGAATCACGCACTTACTTGGGGATGTGTTCGGTCATTCTAGTTCGCAGTGATCGGTCAATTCTACCAATGTATGCTTCGTTGCAGCTGCGGCAGATGGCGTAATGGCGCAATGGATGTCAGACTCGACTGAGTGACGATCATTGAATGGGGGGAGGATGAGACACCGTTTGACCGGATGGAGACGTAATAGTAACCAATCCTGTGCATCACACACAGACCACAGAAACACGCACACACACAAACGCGGTTAAACCGAACTAGATTTCTTAATACGATTTATTTGTTTTATTTTGTTCAGTGTTACACGTACGCGACCGATGATAATATAGAAAAGAAATCCTCTCGCAGTGTTTGTCTTCTGACTTACCTTTTAAAATTCATTAGGGGATCTAAACGTTCCAGTCTTTTAAGTAAACCGTATTTTTTGTCCGATGTATTTTTAAGAAATGGTTTTATTGATTAGCATGCTGGAATCTTCTTTAAAAAAATAAACCAAGTATCAAAGTTCACGATTACTGTTTGCAAAACCATTGTTGACTTATGAATTGTCGTACGCTTCAGGCGCACATTGAATGCTTTCCAATGCCTTCCAAATCACATCTATCAAACTATTGACTATTTTCGAAGGATTAAGCAGAATCTCGGAGTATCGCCCAGTTTCCGGTTCGGTTCAGAATGCCAAAAGATATGTGGGCATTTTCTGTGTTTGTGTGTGCTCACTGACACTGGGTTCGTTCACCCAATTTGCCCTATATCCGCAGACGATCGTATTGCGCATCAGTATTCGGGACAGTAACGAACAGGACGAATGCGGTCTGACAGCATCGGGGAAATCGCATGTTGCATTGTTGGCTCGAAACGAGGTCGATTACAATTATTGGCTCGATGGATTCTACTTTCTGCGCTTGCTCAATGTGAGTAACTCGACCGATTTACGATTCAGCCGAACTATTATCCTCCTGGTGACGGGATTCGCAATAGACTGAATTAAAGAAGATATGAAAAGGTATTGATTGGCATCGGTATTAGGCCCGATCACGAAACAGATTGACCATAACCGGAGAAGTGGTATAACCGATTAGAATATACCTTAGCTTGTTTCTGTCTGGTATCTAAAATGTATCTCCATATAAAGGCTCAGATATCGTTATTATAAGTTCAATTAGAAGGCCATAGAACAAACTAGGAAACTAATTTAAGTAAACTAGGAATGGAGTTAAAAAGTAATCGATCGCTGTTAGCTGCGATCGAGAATTTTGCCAGCGGTTTAATTTATGTTTGACAATAAAATCCGAAGAATGACCATTTTAAAACAATCGTGATTGATCCCCTTTAAATAGTAGCTTTTTCTCTGAATTTTATGACAGAATGCGAAACTTGTATTGTGGATAGATAGTTTTCGTGAGAACCGTTTTTCGGTTTCCCTCTATTCTACAAATAGAAAATGATACAACAGATAGAAATGGCTATAGAGGACACAAATATTGTGATTGACTGCATCGACCCAAAGCAACCTAGTAGTGTGCAAAAACGTTGGTTCTTTGGATCTTGAAGAACGATGTTTGTCACTGTCCGTTTGTGTTTGCGTGCTCCATTCTGACCAATTGGTTAAATTCGATCTGACCAAAAAAGAATCTGTGCTTCCGTACTCCCATTCTATCAGAGTCCGAGTAAACGTTTCGCGGAGGACATACAACTTCTCACGGTACTGGATATGGAACTGCGTGTTGCCGGATTGGACTTATCCGTGCTCCCGACCAAACCTCGACCGATTCCGCCCGATCCACCGGAATTCGATTTCAAAGAACCATGACGCGACTAGTTGAGAAAATCCATTTCTTACTCGGTCATTTACCATTTGTCTCTCTTCCTATTCTTGTGGGTTTATGTGCATGTAATCGAGCTCGTAAAACAACGACAACAACAACAAACGCCCCTCTTTTATTATNATCCGTGGATTTCGGACTCGATCCACATGGAGATCAGAATTGTTTTGCATTTTGAGTGATACCGCGCGAATACAATCTCAGATTTGACCTGGAATGTTCTCGCCCATCATGAAACCCCGATTGATGAGTCTTGTGCCTTGACCAACCACTGCCAAATTATGTGCAATGCCTTAGCAGCGTCCACACTTTCAGCAATGACTTGATAATTTTGATTGCATAATTATATACTTCAATTTTGAGCACCATTATCATTCGTTTATACTGACTTGTGTGTGTGTGGGGGGGGGGGACTGACTTTGGGTACAGCGGTGCGCTTTGTAATAGACCCTCTCAGTGTGCAAATTTTGTATTAATTGAAAGTGTGTGTGTGAAATGGAGGAACATATTTAATCATGCCGACACAGTACTTCGAACCTCTGAGGCCCAGAAAGGGCAGACAGCGACTACTGCGAGGGAAAGAAACTACGTCCGGAACGCCTCTTACACGGTAACGAAATTGGGGCTTATCCAAGAGGCACCATACCTACCAAGCATGATGTAAAACCACAAGATGCAGGTGCAGACTATACAAGCCAGGTGCCATCCCGACTCAATGATTGTCACATAACCGAAAAAGAAGCGAAAGAGGAAATGATGTGGGATGATGGTATCTCGGGATGCGGATTTTGGTGTTGATGAGTTGCACTGATGATATTACCTAGCTTGGTTACGAAACTTCTGCGAACAACACTTCCAGCTCGGAGAACTCACCAGCACCAAGAACCCAAAAAAGTACTACGCTTATATATCCAATCCAAAAAGATCACCATAAAGAGTATAAGAATATTGGAAAAATCAAATGGGTGCCTTTCTCTGAGTGGTCCTTATTTTCTTGAAAGCGTTTACATTTAATCACTAACGACAGATCGAGCATAGTCAACCAATGTGACACCGCGGTTGACCGAGATAATCATCACATCCGCGGAGTTCTCCAGAAGTTACTGTCACTAAATATGTTCCAAGGGCGGGTTGGATGGTACTCACACAGCCATTGTTCAACTATTAGTGGGGATATTTCAGGAAGAAGTGACCAATCTGCTTCAGGCGTCTCTCAAAAAACTGGGATATTGGAAAAGAGCGACACTAGTTGCTTTGACCATTTCTAGTTCAAGGAAGATGGTAAAAACTGCTGACCAGTAAGTCTGCTATCAGTTTTGTGCACATGCTTAAAAAGGAGAGTACGTAAGCACATGGCAACGTACCTTACAGATCAAAGCTATTTTAGGAAATATGGCTTCATTACTTGTCGAATCCATTAGTCTTTCTTTACGACGTCGCAGGCTACTTAGGAGAAAGATCATTAGGTGGAGGTCTGTTATGTCGGCCGTAGCAAAGCCTCTGCAAGTCACCATCTGTTAGAGCAGAAGACGTATCACCTGAAAATTATTAGAAATATAAAAAGGGGTAAAATTGTTTTCTGTTTTCAAAGACGTTTGGGACGTATTTGCCTGTGACTGAAAATAAAAATAGCGGCCCGCCTTACGAGTCAATGTTAGGTCCACTTGATGTTCATAAACGACTTAACACGAGAACTCAACAGCCTGCGTTTTATGTTCGCGGACAATTTTCATGTGATGGGAACTAGTGTGCCCTCGGTTGTCTACAACCTGTGATCAGGTAAGCCAAAAAGGGAGACCTACCGGCGAATCCATTGAAATACCAGCTCCTCACTGCAGGGGTTAAACTAGAAAACCAGAATGAAGTATAAATCAGAAAAGTAGGAGAAGTGAACAAACACCTCAGCTTAATGGTGCAAATTATAGACAGAAAGACGGAATAGCCATGGGTTCTCCGTTAGGACTACTAATAACATTTTCATAGCCAAATTAGGAACCGGAATACTCTCGAAAGCCATAGCAGCATCCTCCTTCCACAGGTGATATGTGGATGACATCTTATATGTATACGATGCTGACAAGGATGCTAATATTCTGTTGGAGAACTTCAATGGAGCTCATCCGAAAATAGAGTTCAAGCTGGAAAAAGAATTCACAAATGGTCTCGCATTTCTAGACGTGTTCTTATCTCGACGATCAAATGACCACATTCGTAAGAAGCATTCACCATAAGAAAACATAGACGGGGCAGCACACCCTACCAAAGTTTCGTCCCATTGCAACAGAAGAAAAATTTTATTCGCCGCTTAAGCAATAAAGTTAAGAAACTTTGTTCTACGGACTATGAAGTTTGAACTCTGAAGAATACAAAATAATTTTCTAGAGAATGGATGTCCTGAGTCATTCATTCATAAAAACATGACATCATATCCACACAAGGCATTATGTGACAGTAGATAAGAAGTGTGTCTATCTTTCCATCCCATTCAGATGAGACATGAATTCAATCTTCCATCACACTCAGCTACTTTGCAGCTGAACCCCGCGTTATGTTCACGTCCAAACTGGTCCAATTAATGCGGACTAAAGGTAAATTACCCCGGCTGCGACCTCCTATTTTTACGGCGATTGTGAAAAGATCGGTAGCCTCGGTGGGATTCGAACCCACGCATGATCGCCGCCCATGCACTACCAGCTGAGCTACGAGGCCGCACCGATGGCACTGATCTTTTCACATTTGAATTACCCATTCAACTTGCAGAGGCATGTGGCATCCACCGGTTAGCATGTCGGCTGACTTCCCCGACAGGTTTTCCTTAGAATTCACCGGAGTCCACCGAATGAACATCTAAAACAAGGTTAATTGTGCAAATGGATGTTTAGCAGATTTGAATTTTGTACGGCGATTGTGAAAAGTTCATCCATTTGCACAATCCACCTTGTCTTAGATGTTCACTCGGTGGACTTCTAAGGAAACCCTGCCGGGGCAGTCAGCCTACATGCTAATTGGTGGATGCCATATGCCTCTGTAAGTTGGATGGGTAATTCAAACGTGAAAAGATGAGTGCCATCGGTGTGGTCTCGTAGCTCAGCTGGTAGCGCATGCGTGTACAAAAGCCTAGGCGGCGTCCATGCGTGGGTCCGAATCCCACCGAGACTGCTGATCTTTTCACAATCACCGTACAAACTTCAAATCTGCGAAACATTCATTCGCACCTCCTGCTTTGTTTATTAATTCACCTCTTCCTGTTGAGCAAGTTATGTGGGTCGAACGGTGAGACATTTATCTGATCGCATCAAGAAGCATCACCCACGTTGGTTGAGTCAGGATTGAGAACGGCCGGGATGACGGCAATTACAAACCATTTAACTGAGTCTGATCACCCAGCCGATGTGCATGCGGCTTTCCGTCTTCTCTATACGATCAAGAGTAGATTATCCAAAGAGGTCAAGTTCCGAATTTCGTCAACAGCCAAGGCGATTGCCATCCGTCTCCAAAACTTCCGCTTGCGTGCCCAGAAACAGTTTGTAGGAACATTGGTCTGGCCATGACCATCCATTATTTATCTGGGGACGTAACCTAAGTTCATGAACTCTCACTCCGTTACCTATCAACCCATCTACAACTAGAAAGTCATCGTGATGAATGACCACAAATCACCGCAGCGATATGAGTGCAGATAACTGTGGTGATCGTGTAACGAGTACGCACGCACCGCGGTACAGCTTCCAGGTAACCAATCAAGAAGC